CACTGCAGGCCGGGGGTCGCGGGGAGCAGTGGGAAGCAGCCCCGGCGCCGCCGCCCCGGGCTGAGCCTCCACACCGACCGAGAGCCGCCCCGGCCCGGCCCGGTCAGGACCAAGCGGGGTCTCCGAGCTCCCACCCCGGACAGGCGGGCCGAGGGTCTGGGCGGCCGCCCTCCCCTCTCCCTGCCAGCCCCGGGGACGCTCAGGCGCCTCCCCTACCAGCAGGAGGAGGCCGAAGATGCACCAGCCGATCACCAGCTCGGCCGAAGCCGCACCAGCGGGGGCCGCCGCCATTTTCGCTTCCGGTCGGGCGGGGGCTGCGCCGGGGGAGGGCGGAGGAGGGACGGGAGGGATGGACGGGAGGGACAGACGGCAGGGCCGCGGAGCGCACCCTAAAGGTTAAAGGGCCGGAGGAGCCGAGCGAGTGGTTGTCGCGGAGACCCAGCCCGCAGCGTCCCCTGGCGGCGCCGTGCGGGGAGGGGCGGGGCGAGCCAGACGCGATGATATAATCACGCTGCGCTCTCACGCTGGCTGGGCTCTGAGGGCGGAGTTGTCTCAGGGTGGCCCGTCCTTTTGGGTTGTTCCCTTAGGAGGAGCCTAAAGGACTAGGAGTGTAACAAGTTTTAGGGTTCAGCCTCCCCAAAAAGAAGTCTATGCCTAGTGTTCAAGGCAGAGTGGACTGTGAGTGGAAGCACCATCACTAGGCTGCAGGAGCCAGCTGCCCTAAGGACTTTCTCTTTTGCTGCCCTGGGGACCAGGCCTGTGAACCACTTGGGTATACATGCTCACCACGTGATCTGGCCCTTCCGTTTAGATATATGCCTGTGACTCTCCATAATGGCTTTAGAGACTAATGTTATTGTAAGCTCTGGGACTAGTCAGCATTGAAACGAAACAGATACTGCCACAGGCACAGAGAGAAGCAAAGGGAGAGAATTCTTCGTATGGCTTACCTAGATCTACTGTTGGTACTCATCTACCCACCAGAGTGAACAAGCTAGCCTGTGCTGTAGTCACAACACAACTTTATGAATGAATGTCACCATCTCTACAGTTGTTTTTTTTTCATGGCGATGTTATCCCTTACACAGGACCTACACCTGGCTGAGCCTGCTGTAGCTAGAGGGTGGGGTAGTCCTCTCCCAACACACAAGAGAGAAGAAAACAGGCGAGAACTGTTTACACCAATGCTGTGGTCACCGGCCTGGGTCTGAGGAGGTTCCTGAAGGTGAGATGAGGAACTTAACCCACCCTAAACATAGAACGTTTGGAGGTTCACTGACTCCTATCGAGGAAAAAGGGATTTTTCAGGATGCATCAGTAAGAGGCACGGGAAGGGTTTGTTAGAAATGTTTGTACACACGAGTGGAGTGTGGGCTGGGAAGAGAGAGGGAGCGGGGCAGGCCACTGCAGTTTGGAGTTGGGAATATATTTTTGGTGGTGGAAATCTGTTGAACTTCACAATCTGTAGTCTGGTCTTGGTTTAGTGGGTGAGGGAGGATGGCCCATCGAAAGAAAGATAATGGTTTATTCTCGGGGCAAACCTATTTTAGTGGTGAAAGAGTAGTCTGTTCACACTTGCAAGGAAAAAGGGAATGGCCAAATCCATTAGTAGGTGAAAAGGAATTGCCCAGGCTTGGAAAAGAGAAAGAAAAAAAAAAGTAAACTCAATTTGTGTCCAGAAACTACACTCTTTAATTCTAAAATTATGATTTTCTTTGTCTCCTTTCTGCCTACTTTTTTTTATTTCTTCAGTCCTACCTCACCATCATTAACTAGTACCAAGCTGTCTATACCTGCAAATGTTTTTTTTTTTTTTGTATATCCTATTATTGGTACATTTTAGGTGAACAGCATAATGTCATTCATCATTGGAGATATGCACCTTACATACTCTTGGTTCTTATTTTCCCCCCTTCCCCTACCCTCCCTTCAACCCCTCCATCCCTCCCTATTTACAAAGACTTTGTTTCCATTTTTTCATTGTCTCATATTCCATTCCCCTCTTTCCTTTCCCCTACCCC